CTTTAGAAATGATCCATGATGCCCCATTATATTTCATTTACTTAGTCTTATTTCAATAATTCCTTGTTGAACTTAACCACTGAACGTGCTTGAAAGACGTGTTTCTAAGTACAGATTCATTATTCCTCTTAGGAATGAGGAACAATAAAAAAAAAACATCTAATTGAAAACATCATGTAAATACGATCAGTAAATAGATTCTTAAAACATAGGCAAGTTCTGTCGTAGTTATTACCACGACATTAAAGATACTACCATTTAAACCTAACTAAGGTTCTTAAAACACAGTCAAGTCCTATCGTAGTTATTACCACAACATTAAAGATACTACCATCTAAATACATTTTTTAAACCTAACTAAGGTTCTTAAAACACAGTCAAGTCTTTGTGGTAGTAATTACCATGACATTAAAGATACTACATTTTTTAAACCTAACTAAGATTCTTAAAACACAGTCAAGTCTTTGGTAGTTATTACCACGACATTAAAGATACTACCATTTAAAAACCTTTTGTTAAGACAGCGGAAGTCATATGATGCTGGTAACACATCATGAGTTTCTAGAAGGATCATGACTTTTCCTGGCAACTCTAGTCTTTTCTAGGCACCCTCTATTTTAATATATAAGCCCGGCAAATAATGGCAGATAGAGAGATACAGAGACAGATAATTGAGTCAAGCAAGCGGTAATGACTGTAAGTAAAGTACATGAATCGTTGTGAATTATAGCGTGTGTTTAAGTTAAAGTGATTGTGGAAATTCTGTGTATTGCAAAGTTATATTGAGAAAGAATAAACTAGTATCGCTTAAGTTCCTCAAGAAGAATTTATACTGTAAATTAACAAACGACCAGAGACGTAACACTTTTTTAAACCTAACTAAACATAAATACTTTAATTAATAATTCTTTTGCTAAGATTTTTTAAAAGACTTACTACTCTTCAACTTGGCTATCTTGAATATGGCACTAGGCTTAATATTGCAAACATAGCCTAGGAACTGCCAGGAAGGAAGGGCATTTGGATCTGGCCAACTGAAATATACTGGAATTTAAAAAAAAAATTATTTAGAATGAAGAAAAAGAAAAGCGTATATCTACTTCAGAGATCAGTGGTAAACTAAAACATATCTTAAAAAAACAGGTTCAGTTACAACTGGACCCTACTTGAATTGAAAGGAATCATTCAAAAGAAAATTAATGTTGAGTTTACCTGCACCACCCAGTCCATCAGGAAAAGGCTGAGAACCTGTCATGAACACCACAATATGGTTGACATTGTCGGCATCTGGAATATTGATGAGAAACTTTGTTCCTTCTACTTGTTCAAAGTCTGTCTGGACCTGAGAAGAAAGAACTGTGTGTTCAGAAACATTTGTTTTAATGTTGCACCTATAATATCAGTTTATTACTTTACAACTGATAGCTAAGTCTGCCAAAGACAAAAGGAGGACAGTTGATGTATGGCAGGCAGCTAGTTGTAAAGCTCTAATCTAGCCAAATTATAAAAATTAGTGAAAAAAGAAATGCAGAGCTTGCAGAAGGGTTATATATATTGATAGGAGAAG